ATCGATTGGCTATAATATTACAACCAGTGTCTCCCTGTAGTTACTAATAACATAGGCGAGTTTATATTAGGTCTATGTGAATCATGTTTTCTGTGCTCCACTTGCCCTCTGTCTTCCACGAAAGTCTCATAAAAGATGCATGTAAATAAGATAATGATGCCATTAAAATACTTTGCAGGTTATGGCTGTAGATCAGGAATCAGGTGATGCCACGTTTGCTACCGTAGTTGTGGAGGTGTTACCTGAAGGGCAACCAAGTAAGGTGACCCATCTGCACACTTGTATACACTGCTGATTGCTAATAATCCTGCAGACTAAAACAGCCTCTTCATGTTTTACTTTGTTTGCCCCAGTCCCCTATGGTCCACTGCGAGGTGATCACGTGATCGGTTGCACAGTGGGTAAAGCGTTGTTTCTGAGCATGGTGTTTATGACTGCATTTGGATGTGTCCTGTCTATACTGATGTGGCTGAAGAAGAAACAGAAGGGAAAGAGAGGCCCATTGGAGAGAGGCTGTGTAGCACAAGGCAAACATCCCAATGTCGTAAGATAATTTATGACTAAAATATTTACTAAAATTAAAATTAACATTGTTTTATTTGTCTGAATGTGATCCAAAATATTCTGGCATTTACTCCCACAGAGCTTACGGTGGTTCCAGCTGGTGAGTGGCCTGTTTGTTTGTTTGTTTGTTTGTTTGTTTGTTTGTTTGTTTGTTTGTTTGTTTGTTTGTTTGTTTGTTTGTTTGTTTTGTTTTAGAGTTATCTGTATCCTCACCATATTTTTTTTCCTGTAGTAAAAACTGCTTGTCCTTTTAATGTTACTTTTATAGCATATTTATCTTCTATCCAAAACCAACTAAGGGATTTAATTACAGTTTTACATCTGAACTCTTCTAATTCTGCTAAAAGTAAATGATCGGGTTTTACAAAACTGAATGAATAATAAAATTCATGTAAACGCAAGATACAACTTCCTCACTAGTTCCAAAATTTCCAACCCCATCTCATGGCCTTCATCTGCAGATTTAACTCAAACTTCCTATTACAGAATAACACGCACAAAAGGTGTGGTCAAGAAATGTCACATGGACCCTGTTTGTCGAATCTACTATTTCTAGTGTTAAAGTTTATACAGTATTTGAATATTCAGAGTACTTTATAAGTCTGTGAGACTCGAGGGCAATCTGCATATTCAAATAATCTTGCTCAGGATGATTTGCTTGCACCGTCTTTGTGTCTCTGTGCAAAAAGTAGCTTTATTCCTCTGTGTGTTGATCTGATGAATGTAATCACTCCTCAGATGAGTCATCATAATACTATGCCACAAACGGAGGAAGTACCCTACAGCAGTGAAGAATATGGAACTTACAATCCTTCCTTCAGCTTTACTGAAAACCCAGGAATCTACATCCAACAAGGATGTACCCCCTGTCAAGAACCGACCCCACCCACAGATACAGCTGTACCTGACACCAGCTCCATCCCCACTGAAACTGTAACCTTTGACAATAATGTTTCTACACCAACAAACATATCTTGCATTTCGCCCACTTTTACAGCCCCTGCAAATGTGAGCCCAACAGATAAAACTGAGGGTGCTGCTCCACCCAACGAAACCCCTGGTATCCCACCAGAATCAAACCCGGAGTCTATTGAGGAACAATCTAACATGAGCCCAAGCCCTGAAACCGATGACGCTGATACAACTCCACCTGTAACATGCCCGGATATGCAAACAGGCTCCAATGATGATCTTGTTGACCCAACAACTAGCCCCTCCTCTCAATCCAGTATTCCATTCAGTCGTACCCGAATCGCTTCAGCAGAAATTGACAAACCCTTTCGTAAATCTCGCGTGAAGACGCCCTCATATTCGCCTTTATTGTCCACATCCATCCCCAGGCAGACAAGCACACCCCCACCCACCCCAGAGGATGTCCCTTTAAAGGCCACGTTGGTACATATAGATACCTCTCCCACTGAGACGCCACCAGAAACACCAGAGCGAACGGCGGTAGCTCTGAGCACAGAGGTGTACCAACCCTCTACGTCACTGGATGAAATAGAATCAGAGCGTCTCGACGGAACAGCAGACAGTAGCAGTCATCCTGAGGAAAGAAGGGCATCGACAAACTCGGGAAACACCCAAGATGACCGCAGGGTGGGGGAGGATGATGATGGTTTTCTGGGAGATGAAGATGCAGACAAGAACAGTGAGGGTGAGTTAGAGTCAGACGAAGAAGAGCTGCTGAGAGTGATGGCTCGTTGTAATCCCATTTTTATCACATTTAGTAAGTGATGTCACTATGATATCGCAGGCGGGTGACAGAAGATGGCGCAGGTAAGACGAAGATGGAGAAATCATGGAGAAACAAAGAAGCACTAAAGGCTGGCTCTGCTGTTCTGAAGGCATAAATGAAGACTGGGTGTATACACAGTGCACTTGAAGGGCCACATCAAAAAAGGCCTGCATGTGTTTGCACTAATAAGCTACAACATTAAAACCAAAGTGCAATGTTCTCCTTGGAAATCCTGAGTCCTGTTGCTTTGATGGTGCCACTCACCCAAATAGTTGCATAGCTGCAGATTAAGGAAACCTATCCAGTGAGATGGCACTCCCCGGCAGCAGTGGCCTCCTTAAGCAGAATGATGCTCACAGAGGCTCCCACAAACATGACAAAGAGGCTAAGTTAATGACTTGGACTCTTCACATACTAATCTTACTGAACATCCGTGACGTACTGAAGACCTGGAGTCAATTTTTCTGAATAATGTTTTAGTAACACAAGAGGAACCTCCATGATATTTTGACACATGGTTTGAAAGTTGTGGCTTATTAGTCTATATGTAAAACAACATGTAACGTGTAACATGTAGCATGAAATACACCATGCTGATCCATTCATAACACATACAGTAGTCATAGTCTAAATAAGATAATAAGGATACCATGAAAATGCAATACAAATAAAGAACACACTGTTTTAAAACAAATGTAAGCATAAATTGAGATTTTGTTGTCCAAACATTTCACACTAACCAAATATACGAGTTTATCCTGAATATGATGAAATATGTGAAATATACTTCAAAAAGATAAATATACACAAATCTCAGTGAAAAGTGCTGCTAAAATTCCATCCAGACTGAATATGGGGGGTCGGTGGTGTTGCTGTGGGTGTACTAGTCACAAGCAAAACACTTGCTGTAATATCAGAGGACTATGTAAGGCTAACATTTAAATCCACAGGGATAAATGCAGCTCCAGTTTATGTACATGTTGTGACAAAGAGCACAACACATACTTGATGATGATAGTTTATCAGTAATCAGAATGTTCAAAGGGATAATCACAGCAAATGTCTGATTTTCTGGTCACATTCCAGTCAGCGACGTCTTTTTGCAGCTGTTAAAACCCCAGCAGCTGCCATCACATGACACAAGTACAAAATCTACATTTAAAGTCACAGTGCAAAGCACAGCCACATTTGAAAAGCCACTTACCTGTGCATCTAAGGTTCCACAGCGTTATGAATTTTGATGAGAAGAGATTTACACTTATGAATGTACTTACTTACAGCATAAAATTAGTATAAAATATGTGTACATTCATCACGGAACATCAATTTGAAATCAAAGAGAACAGGGGAGCACATGTTACAACAGGCATGGACACATCTGAAGTTTTAATCTCTCAGTATTTCAAACACTCAGCGCCATCAGTACCCAATCTGTTCATCTACTCTTAAAGGCTCCATTCTGATGGACCTTTTCAGATCTATGTCAACATACACTGCATGTCAGTGGGAAAAAAGCCAAGGAACTTCTGTAGATCTTTATCAAGCTACAGAACCGGAGAAACTATTTCCTGGTAGGAAAATGGCTTCATAAACTGTGATGTGGGGAAAAAAGAAAGAAAATAAAACAAATTCTACAACCACAGGGACTGTTCCTACAGTTAGCTATACTGAATGCTCTATTAATTTAATTACAGAAGCTACTCGAGCACAGGAAGCAAGCTTTGAATTTTCCAAACAGTGTTTTAAGGACTTACTTGCTTTTTCTGATTTGACAGAACAAAACTGAACTCATTAGAAAGAACTGCAAGCACAGCATCAGGCAAACACTCATAAACTGGTTGATGCAATCTCTACAGTGAAAAACGCTGGTGGCAGCCTCGTGCTATTGGGCTACTTCAGAAATAAAGGCAGGTCAGAATTGGCCATAGTTTAACTTTCAGCATAGCGTGTCTAAAGATACGGTTTCAGTTTTTGTTGTTAAAGGCCACTGACAGATGGTTATAGACACTAGAAATCTAAAGATACAAAAGGTGAAAGGTTGTGCATACTACTGATTCTTCCTTTAATAAGTTTGTCAGTGTAGCAGGCCAGCACTCAGTCTTGAATATTCTGCAGATAAATCCTGTTCTTCTCACATTTTTGTACATCAATGCAGAATAAAAAAAACAAACATTTTTCTGTAAAAACTTAAAGGTTAAGGCTCCTAATGAATAGCATCAGGTAAGTGAATGTGAATCTAAAGATCACAAAGACCTCAAAAGAAAAGAGCTTCTGAATAAATTGTTAATATTCATCACGCCCTATTCTGAATAGTTTGTGACTTCGCCGCATTCATTAAATACTGTGTGCATTCAGCTCAGTTCTGACACTTTTGTATATAAAAACACCAACATTGGTATTATAGTGAGCTGAGAAGGGAAACTGAATGTCTGAAAAAGAAGGTGGAGGGAAGACAACAAGCAGGTCAACATTGTGAACTGTGTTTTTCCTTCACTGTTAATACGAGCACTGATATTTTTCAGCTTCCACTTAATATGATGAAATGTTTTATAAGATTATTTATTAGGAATGTGAAGTTTGTAGAAGACAGTAACTGAGCAATTGGTATGTTTAGCTTTCCAGAGAATAGCTGTTATACAGCAGAAAGCTTCTGACAGCTTAACCAACACAAAAGAATAAAGAAACCAAAACACTCCTTTTTTTATTTTAATTTTTATTGAGACTTTGTTCTCAATCACAAAAACTGGACCTGATTGTTAGAGTGCTCACTTTGCTGAACAACTTATTTACAGTAAAGTCACTAGTGAAAGGCTGTTGCTGCAGTGAGCTTGTAAAAAAAAGTCATATATAATACCATAAAAATTATTAACAGTGGTTATAAATGCTAGTAGTGATAGTACAAACATGACAAACATATCTGGGAAAGAAATGTTGAAACGTCATTTTTTTCTAAACTAAATTGCTTACAAAACAGGACAAAGATTTTGGTTGGCACACAAATTAGTTCAGCTGAATCAAACAAAACTGTAACAATAAAGCAAAAAAAACAAGTCATCAAGAATACAAGTAAATATGTACACACGGATTCACATGCACGCACACGCACTCACACTAATGAGGTGATGAGATAGAAGAAAGGAGGCAGCATTGAGGACGAAGCATCCATCAGTCCCTAAATTCATCTGTATTCCTTCAGCTAACACGAAGCACGTCGGTTGGGATGTGCAGATTTTGTTAACGTGGAAGGTTTAGGCCCAGCTTAGCAAACAAAGCCTGGTCCAACTGATGATACTGTATTGCACTCGACCAAATGGTCTCCATTGCCACTGGAATTCAACATATACCTCCTTGTTACAAACAGCTGTTACTTCAGCATCACAATAATATGAAGGAATGAAAAACAAAGTACAAGTAAAGTTTAGTTTGAGCCCAATTACAGAGCAATGGTACAAATTCTGCTTTTTGTTTCAGTCTAATGCACTACAGAATGACATGCTGTGACAAGCTGCTCTGTAGGCTACAAACTAAAACTCTGTTCCATGAAGCATTTTGCAACAAATCAAGGCTATGCAAAGAAACTGTCTTCTCAAAGAAAATAATATCTGATTTGTCCTTTACCTGACATGGGCAAAAAAAAAGGTAGTGTATGGAAGCAGAGCAAAGGCCGGCATTATATATCCCAATCTGAGGCATTGCTTAACATGAGCTCACACTGGCCGATGGTGTGCAAGTTGCTTAGAATGTTAGTGTGTGTGTATGCAATGGGACACATTCAAGAAATCAAATAAATTATTGTCTGTGGCGTTCGATTAGGCAAGCTCATCTTGTTTAAAAAACACTCCACGGCTAAAAGGTGGCACACAAGAAGAGCACACAGTCTTTGGAGGCAGGCGGATTTTAGAACTCATCGTGTCGAGTCAGCGCCTCCCCGAAGTCGGTCGCCTGGCTGCCCACGAACAGGTCATACTTATCCACAATTTCGGCTTTGGTGAGACGGCCATCCTGACAAAAGAAACACAAGAAACCATCTGCTATAGGCATTCAGTTTGTCCTATATGTTTGAACTAACACAATGGTCTGCCTTTCAAGCTATTTTAAAGGCCTCCAATTGAGTTTTGATTACAGATACACCAGTATTTTCTGAACACTGGTATGATCTTGCTGACTGGTCTGGTCTCGACTAGTGTTTGGGATCACATTTAACAATTTACTAGGTCAAGTCAATTTTGCTACATATTCAAAAACTTAAAAATGTTATAACCAGTGTGGGCATGAGTCCACTTTCACTTTCTATACCTAAACTCACAGTGCAGATAAAAGTAAAGTCACAAGGAACAAAATGAAAGAAATAAGTAATTTTGACATTTTACAGTACTCACTTTGTCTGCATCAGACTCATAGACCAGATGCTTGGCCTCAGCCTCAGCGTGGTCATAGTCACTGGGCAGGATCCAGTCTCTGGTCTCCTCCTTGTCCATCTTCCCGTCCTTATTTTTGTCTCTGAATTCAGTAAACTGCTCCCTCTCAGTCTTCACCCACTCAGGTTCTGAGGTGTCTCCCTCCTGGTTGTACATGTCACCTAGACCACAAACAGACAGGAACACATTGACTGATGAAGCAAGTGCTAGAAATGCAACGTGGCCTATAAAATATAATAAAACGTAATATGTGTGTTGGTTTGCTTCCTCCAATCACCAAAGATCGTGTGGTACAAACTAATAATGATGCTGGTAGGCTGTCAGAACTCACCTATGTACTCATCCAGGTCAATTAAGCCATCTCCATTCTTGTCAATGTCTTCCATAGTTTCCTTAAAAAAAAAGAAGAAGAAAAAAAAAGTACATAGTGAGAAAGGATAAGGAAGATATCCAGTTGGTCTCAGTATGTAGCACCTTTGTGAGTGTGTCTCTCACCAGCACTACGATGTCTTTCATGTGGTCATACTCCTCAGGGTGAAGGAAGGCTGTAAACTCCTCCTTGTTAGCTTTCATGTCATTGTCCTGGTCAGCCATTTTGAATCTCCTCTCATCACGAGCCATCATCTGCCTGTAGCTGAAGCCATCTTCAGGGTCGGGATCATCTGCGAGTCAGAAGACACAGCATTTTTCAGTGTGAGTCCAAGAGTGGCAAAGTACATTTGTCTATAAAAATAAAGCTAACGTATGAAACGAAAACTGTCTGCCTCTGTACCCAGAATGTATCCATAAGTGGCATTCTTGTATTCCTCCCATGACACCACGTTATCCCCGTTGAGGTCATGACTCTTCCACTGTCGATCCACATCATCATAGATCCACCTCTTCTGTGCGTGCTTGATCCACTTCTTCATTTCCTCAACAGTCACGTAACCATCTTTATCCTCATCTATACGCTCAACCAACATGCTGGAAAGAAAGAGCAGAAAAATTAGAAAAGGTTCATTTTTTCCCCCCCTAAAGTTTTGTCATCTCAGATAAGCATGATCAAAACAAAATGTACCACAAGAATTACTTTTTCAACCAATTTTGGGATTCATTTGTATCTGCATAATTCCTCAAAGTATTCAGGTAATTACAAACATCCCCCAATGACTTTAAAAAAAAAGAAGAAGCAGAAGACAGTGTTGTTACCCGAGCCTCTCCTTGCTCTCTTCTGGTGTGAGCTGGTCAAAAGTCTTAGCCTCTTCCTGTCCCAGAAAGGCTTCATGGTCATAGTCAAAGTTCTCAGTATCATCGTGCTCTCGGCTGCTGAGAGGTTCATCGTGGTGCACACGGTCCTTCTTGTCTGTGGGTTTGCTGGTGGCGTAAACCACGCAGAGAGCAAAACACATGATGAGTGGCCGCAGCTCCATCCTGTGCACGTACAAGCACCGTCTAGAGCAGGAGTTTGGAGGGGAGAAAAAAAGTCACCAAAAAGCCATTGTCATCCTCCTAAACCCATTTCTTTATCATGGCATGAAAGCATGCAGTCAGTACTAATCCTGTCTTTTGATTTCATTCATTCATTGCTGGTTGCCAGTATATGACTCAAAGGGCAGCCAAATACCACGAGTACTGATAATCTTTCACAGCTTATGCAATCCTTTATTTGTTCTACTGCTGCTTTCTGGAAGCTGTTGTTCCACACATTGTTATTACCATAATCTACTCGACAGTTCCCAGCATATTACACAGTCACTCCACACAAAGTATTAAACCAAAACATGTTAATGGAGCATGTTTATTGTCTTTTACTGTACGGCGTAAAGCTTGGTATACTTAATAAACTGGCAATTGAGTACAGATTTCTCTTCAAAACATGCTGCATGATCTTTTGCTCTAAACATCCACAGATTTGAGCTTTAAAGCAAACTTATGAGATTAAGCTACCTGTTCACATATCTAAAAGACCTTTGTAAGTTTACCTGGCAAAAACACACCTAATAACGGTTTTACAGAATTGCCGGGTTGCTATCCCATATATTCTAATTTTTGGTCATTTTATCATCCTGTGATCAAAAAAAGCTCACCATTATACTGGCTTTAGCGTGGCAAGTGATATAATCTTCTTTCTTTTTTTTATCTCGACAACTTAAATCTTGCCTTTTTTGTATTAAAGTTAGAAGCAACAGTGTGTGACCGTTATTTCTAAGACCGTTACCATCCATACCAAGGTGAGGCATTAATAGCAGACTGGCTAACCCAGGATACCGCTAGTTTTCCCCCCTATTAGTCTTGCAATTTAAAGCGCTCAATGCGGATAAGTCAGCACCATCATAACGGACCACTTTAAGTCACTATTGGAGAAATACACTCTATTTCTTTTAGAGATTTTACCCAATTTATTTTGAGTACTCACCGGTTTCTTCTGCAAAGTTCGTCGCTGTAGCCTTACGTCCGCCCCTCGGAAACACACCCATGCACTTCCTGTGCTAGAACAAAAATCAACCAATCAGGTTACGAGAAGCCGAATGCGATGTCGCTTGTTCATTGGTCCACTTCAAGAGAGCATCGTTGATTGGATTGGCCAAGAACCGCCACGTCCTCAAAGGCGACAAAACACACTTCATTCATAAATGCCACTGTCAAAAAAGCTACAAAACCATCACATTTTGCCTAAACATGTCGCTTATTATTTAAATAAATAAATACATTAATTATATATTTTTGTATAGTATTAATGTTGTTACATTTTATTGATTCCCAAGGGGAAATTCATTTGTCAAAGACAGAGGCTACAAAAATGAAGAGAAGCTTGGCTATTACATATTCAGACGCATAAAAGAAGCAGTCACATAAACAAGCACAAGTAAATAGAAGTCGGTTTTTTTTCGGCTTTTTTTATTTGTTTAAAAAATAAACAATTTTCTACAATTATACAATCCACAATTATAAACTTGCTAAATGTAGCCAAAAAGAAATGAAAAAGAACAAAATGCAATAAGGCCTGCAATTACAAAAAAACAAAACAAAAAAACCCTCAACCCAGTGAGAGCAACTATTTAATCAAAAATATGAAACCACTCATTTTTACCACTATATATTGTCATCAGAGTATCCAACTATCCATTTTTTCTCCACTTTTTGAAAACAGGGTCGTGGGATGCTTGAGCATATCCCAGTTTATAATGGAGGCCAGAGACTCTGTGGAGAGTTCACGAGTGCATCACAAAGCCAACAGACAACCATTAAAACTTGCATTCAAACCTACAGCCAATTAGGATCACCTAACATACACTTTGGATGGTGGGAGAAAACCGGAGCACCTGGTTAGAACCCACACAGGCAGAAAGATTCAAACATAGGACCTTCTTGCTGTGAAGCAACAGTGCTCTTCCAACTCTTAGTGCCATCCAAATAGTAGATTTGATCAGAAATATGAAAGCTATTATATTATAAGGTCATATACCCCTCTTAATTCTTTATATGTTTATGTAGCTCATTGGAGAAATAGCCATTTATACTGCCTGTTTTGTCTTCCTTTGCTCAGGAATTTTCATTATTGTAAATTCTAAGCTGAGTGGGTCTGACCCAGTATCTGTATGTCCATCCTATGAAGATATGATGAGAATTAATATACATGACAACCTATGACAAATTCTGTTTTTTATTCGGGTGTGATTTAACTACATTCATGTTTTGCATAAAATATTTAACAACTTATGCATGACATTTGCCGACATAGAGGCTCAGTATAAAAAAAGGCAACAATTACACATTGTGTAAAAATAACAGTAACTCAAACATGTCTCCTGGTTAGCTCTGAAGTGTAATCTAACTATCATGAGTTTGTTTTTCTTACAGAGTCTCTCAGAGCCATAAAAATTAAAGTGTTTTATGTAACAATGGGAGCTTATGGCACAGCAAAGTCTCTATATCTCAGCCAACTGCTGAGTTATCCAAATCTGCATTGTCCCCATCTTCTTCTGTCTTGTCGCGTAGGTTAACATTTTCTCCTTGACTGGATTCACAGGTTGTGTCCATCTGTTTCCCACCATCACAGCTTCCTGCTGGGAAAACACAGACAGACATATTTGGGTTTTTAGCATTTTATTTTCCAAAGTTGATTCTTTATCAAACTGCAGATAAAACTGCAGGTTGTGCTGATTAACTCCTAAAAGTATACAGAGTTGTATCAACAATGTTAGACGTGATCATCTATGTTGCACTGCACTGAATTTGGGCAATCAGGCTGACCTGTGCTTGCTTCACCCTCTTTCTTCTCTGTGAGAAAGATTCGTTGCATTTTCAGTTTCTTCGCTGTGTGGCATAAGTACTTCAGATCTAGACCACCAACTCCTTTTCCTGCAGACAAAAACAAACAAATAAAAAAAAACAAAAAAACCCCCAACTTAAGTACTTAAGTAAAACCACTGAAAAAGTTGTAGTAAATTGGTACCTTTTCCTGGTGTCTCCTCAAACAGCACACAAGTTCCCAAAGCATCTTTAAAGAGGCAAAGATAACAAAGATTAAAAAAACAACAAAAAACTTCACAGACAATCAGCCAGCGGCACCCACATGCTCATCTATTAATGGCTTATATTTCCAGAACAAACAATCTGTAATAGTTAATCAGATATCAGACTAGAAATGACTCTTTGGAACTAAGAAAGGACATCAACATGAATAAGTATCCTCGCAGGATGCAAACACAGCAGGTACAAGCAGTTTGAATCTTTTTCATTTTGCAAGATTTCTCACCTTCATATTCTCCTGCAAACACATACGGTCCAACTTGCATCATGGGTCTGTCGCTGTCAATGTCCTTACACACAAAAAAGAAAAGTAGATTTATGAAGCTACACTGGAAGCAATTAGGTTTCTCTTTTCTCAGTACAACAGAATATGCTTCAAACTCACCAGTATCTTGCATGTGCCCCCACTCTTGGTCAGAAAGTCATTGTTGATTATACCAGAGAGCTCCACCACAACAATCTGCTCCTAAACAGAGCAAAATTATTGATGCTTTAGAAAAACCCATAAAAGTGCATTAGAAAGACAGACTCCCCTGAGAGTTATTTTTCTTTACGTGTTCGTGTTAATTGTTAAATACAAAAATATACAAAAGTCAAATTATCTGGTGTGATGATTGTCCCTTAAACCAGCACTTGGGAAATGTTACGCTATCAAACGGCTCTGTATCCTCATGTGCAGTTGAGCTAATGCGGTAGCTTCAGGGGGCTACATCGAATGGGAACTACTAGTAAATTGGTGGCATTTCATACCTCCTCTTCCCATTCGTCTTCCATACTCAAATTCCTGTAATGAAAAAAAATATTGTGGGTTATAATTTATGTTTAATTAAGAAAATATATCGAGCTAAACCGCTACTCACTGGCTTAGTAATGTTTTGACAATTTCCGCGAATGTACGGTGGCCGAGAAGAGCCTTTCCAGTGTGTTTTGCCGGGTAGCGCTCAGTTACAAGTCCGTCCATCGAGGGGCGGTGTTGCTCAGTTTTGCAGGTAAATTTCAGAGCGGAGCTATTTAATGAGAACTGGAAATTTAATGATCAGGACTTAAATCTGTCTGTTTGTCTGTGTCTTCTGCCAACAGCTGAGAACTCTGAATCTAAATATTGGCTACCTGTAGGCATACTCATGACCTCCATCTGCCATTAGCGTTATTAATGCCCTCCTGTTTTGAGGCCATGGTCGACATGGTGATGAGATGAGATCAGGTGAGATGAGATGGAATAAGATGATACATTTTATTGATCCCCAAGGGGAAATCCATCTGTCAAGGACAGGGGCATAACAAAATGAAAAGAAACTCAGATCTCACACATATTCAAAAACATAAAAGAAACAGCCACACAAACAAACACAGTTAAATTAAGAATAAAAGTGGAGCGATATTAAGAACTAAATGAAACACTGGAGGTTTGTGACATCAACAAATGCTGCAACCCCTCAGGAAAAACATGAGCATCTCAGTGTTTTTAGGTTACTGTGCAGAAGTGAATGGAGGCATACTAATACAAACGCTTCAGAAGCAAACATCGAGCTGAAAGTGTGCTGTCCAAAATTATTTTTATGATTAAAGTAAGAAATATAAAAATGCTCAGAAACTGCACCTAATAGCCATATTAATTTGCGGACTGTGCTCAGTTGGAAAAGGACAAATGCTCACCAGTGGAACCACGAAGCCTAAAAGCTGAAATGTTGTTGTTGTTTTTAACACATCTGCCATTCAGTTGACTCTGACTTCCTTTGTATATTTTTGTCCTTAAAATGCTCACCTGGATTTAATTTTGTTGTAACATAATCATAATGAATCTTATATGTATTTGATAACTACAATACATTTGACGTGCCTGAAATATATAACAATATTTAATAGCCAAAAAGGGGAAAAAATGATACTCATTGATCTCTATGGGAAAATCTCTTTTTCCTGGCTACCCTCTGCTCTGGGGTCAGAGATCAGGGTCAGCTGAGGGTCAGCATTATCGATGCTGGTTGGGTTTCATCATTCCACTTAGAGTGTCTAAAGAGGACTTCTTTTTTCTCACAGAGTCCTCCATTTTAACTCCTTGTGCCTATATACTATCAAAACAGCTGCAGAAAATAGAAAAATGTGAAATAAATTTGTGCAAATCTACTCAATTAACTATAAGTGACAAATAGCTCCTTACACATTAGCAATATTAGGTCATTATTTGGGTAAATACATTTTTGAATTTTGTTTTTCACAAATCCTCTTCCACTGAAAGCCAGGTTAACATCGACTAAGAGAAGTGTAGTAATTGTTAACTTGTTTTAAGTCGGCACATCGGCTGGTGTTGGGGCATTAATAGTAGATTTAGGGAATCTTAGGAAGTCTGGGGATTAGATAGCCTACTATATTTAATCGCACAGAAACTTCACCCCTGCAAAATCCTTATTTTTAATTTTTGTTTGCATTTATCATCTATACTGATTTACTCTGGAAGAAAATGACTAAGTTTGTTCAGGTCTGTTATACAAAACTAACAATTCATTGTGAGGCCTATTTTATTACTGTAACATTTTGTAGCAGAAACCTAAATTTTTGTTTTTTGTAAGTTGCTGAGAAATACAATTTTTCTCAACAATATCCATCCCAAGTTTCATGAATCTGATCAAGTCTCTTTTTAGTGAAGTTGTTCACGCACCAAGAGTGTTTTCCGTCTATAAATACCTGTGCAACTGGAAAGGAGACTGAAGCTGGCTGAACCTCACCCTTAGAGAGAAAAAAACAACAAGATTTTGAATCAAAATCAGGCAAAGCAAATTAAAGCGGGGTGGGGGTGCAAATCTCCCATGTGCCTTCTCCCTCCCCGTTTCTGGCCTATCATCTATCTCTGGACCATGGTAGGGGTTGTCATGTCGACCAGCCTACTAGTTACTATGACAACGGCTCAAGGGGAAGCTCTTGCTAGGGAGGTTATTGCCTCCTTGGGGATGTAAGAAGGACAGGGGGAATGTGAGCGCAGAC